TTTTCCTTAATGGGCGAGAACAAACCGTTAGCTACTTGCCATAATAACGCGATGCGGGCGAGTCAATAAAAATAAAAATGAATTTGCAAATTGTGCGCACTTAATGAGTAGCACATGTGTGCGTTTTTAATTAATAACAAAGCACGCTGGCACATCGGAACATATAGCTATATGCTCTACAAACCCATAACCCATAAGCCAGCAGGAAACGGCGACGTTGGTTTATTAAAATAATTTCCCCGGGTGATTCGGCAGTGCATTTGCATTGTATGTGGTGTACAAATGTACATATGTACCGGGAATGCCCCTGCGGAAGCCAAATATTCCGCTAAACTAATGCCGTTCACATACCAATATTGGATTACGCGGGCTAATTAGGCGTCAACTGAATTTTCAATATCGGTTAATTCTATTTGATCGCCCCCATTCCCTTGGCACCTTAACGAAATCAAAACAAATTTAATCATGTTAATATAATTACTAAAAATTAAGCCATAATCTGGGGAGTAGAGGCAAAAACACCTGCCAGCCGACGGCAAATGGCAAACAACAAACGGCAGCCGGTTAAGGACGAAGGTCCTGGAGCAAGGGTTCTCCCCCTACATAACACCAAAACGACCCAAATTATTTTTAATTCCCCGCAGGATAACGGCGCGAATGAAATGAGCAGCAGTCCTGCGACTCCAGAGAGGCTTGCCTTGCAATTTATCCTGCGTGCTGCGCATATTAACGAAATGATTATGGAATTCATAATTACGACGCACACACACACACCATGTTGGTCCCAGTGTGTATTGTAAAATGCGTCAACACATTTGCCAGCCGGCGGCAGTTGTCGAGGATCCCGCAGGAGTCACGAGGTCGTCAGACAATGGGTTTGAGCTCTGAGTTTCTGAGTTCTCGGCTCTCAGTTCTGAAAGTCCTTTGCCCAGCACGGCCCACATGGCGCATACGCAATTTCCACACAGCCATCCTTGGCTGCTCAAATATTTGACATACACAGCATATAGCAGTCAGCATCCAGCATATAGCGCGTGATTAAATTAAATGCCGGGCCACTTCGATTCGCAGCTGCACGGGCGACAGCTACACAACTAATTAAAAACGACCAACAATGCGACGTGACCGGGACCGTGAAAGGAATTTGTTGTGCCCAAAATCGAGGTCATTGGCCCATTTGAATTTGAATTTGACCAATGTCCAAATATGAGTAGACTGTGTGTGTGCGTAATGAACTGGCCAGTCCGCATAATGCGATTATTGTCCCTCAAATGGCATATCTGGCAAGCAGAGAAAAAATGTTTACAAGAGATTAAGGTAAATTCTACCTTACTTCATGTCAATAAGATATTTTATAAATTTTAAAATACAAAATCTTTGATTTCTTTTTTCTTAGCAAAGAATATAAAATAAATATAAATAAATATCAAAATAGATGTCTAAAAGTATCCAAAGTATAATGGATAGTCGACTTGCTGCATGATTTCATATAACTTTTGGATTAAAAATGTATTGTTGCATACTTTTAAACACCTATTTTGACATTTAGCATTTTCTTTATTCCTTTCAAAATGATATGAATTTCTTTTTGTGTATCCGGTCTGCCTGGATAATTCAATAAATTGCAATTCCATGCTGTTAGCTGTTCGCTGTTGCCTGTTAACCCGCCCCACGGGCATTTCAGATGCCAAATCAAATGCACTTAACTAAACTAAATGCGGCCGCAGTTCTCGATTCTCCGCCCGCTGCGCCTGAAAGTAGGCAACGATTTGCTCGCAGCATAAATTTCGCTTGAGTGGAAAAGGGAAATTGTTAAAAGGGACCAAGGAAAACGGTTTTCCTCCCCCCGCTCCCCTAAAGCAGAAACTGAAAACTTTTTTAAGTTAATTGAAATTCAACCAAGGCTGAGTGGCCATGGACCAGTACAGTAGACCAGCTATCTCAGCTTAATATACCCCAAAAACCCCCGTCGAAAAAAGGTTTCAACTTTAGTTTTCGTTTGATCAAATCCAGGATATTTATGTCCGTGCGTAGGCCTTCTCTAAGGATTGGGACTTGTTGAATGGCCCACGAGTAAGAAGCCCACCTTTCCGGGCAAACAGTTTAGTCAGTGCCCGGCAATGTGCTTAAGTCTCATTTATTTTTCATGGCCTGGCCTATAAAAATTGTAATTTCATTACCACCGACAGGCGGTTACCTCAAAGGTGGCTGGCTGGGTAGCAAGTGCAAAAATTGAAACACACTTGCAAAATGAAGGTGCCCGGTTCCGGAACCGGAATACACAGAAACCCACAACCAAAGGTGTCTGCTACCCTCCGCTGACTACGGCCCTTTTATGAATTTTTAAAAATGTTGCTGTTTTGGCGGCTGCCGGGCGCTGATTTCGCAGTCATGGGCCGTGAGCCGTGTGGCCACAGGACCCAAATGCCCGGCCACTTGTTAGCCATTTTACGTTGTGGCCAGGCCATGTGTATGTGGCCAGGGTACTTAACTTAAATGGCATATACACTGCTACACCCTCACCAGTCGACATCAATTTAAATTGAATTTTCACTTACCTTAGGAGGCGAATGAGAAGGAGAACGAGGCTCTCGGACTTTCGGACTTTGGTATGCAGCCCAGACACTCGGCAATTTACGTCCTGAATTAGTCTAATGTAAAATTTAAACCTTAACCTGGGCATTTCCTTCCTCGCTTTTGGTTGCTCATCTGCTCGGATATTTTGTATATATTTTTTATATATTTTTCCCTTCGTTGGGTCTGAGTTCTTAATTGATTAGGCCCAACATTTAATTAGCAGCGAATATTTGTGTGCCACTGCGGCTTGGCTTTTGAGCACATTCATAATGCTTTGATGGCTCGCTTCAATGTCGCCAATTATGCTAATTAAAGGTGAAAGGAAGGAAGGCTCAACAATGCGCGCAAAATGTCTCCGTTTACGGGAAGGGGTTGGGAAGGGGCTTTGTCCAGGGGTGGTTTAGGGTGGCCCTTGATGGCTGGTGGCTATTTTTAAACGGCAAATTGACAGGCTCAAAAGGACCGAGGCTTGAAAAAGGGCTAACTAACTGGTTTGGGATGGGGGTTTTGGGTCAATTGACAGCCAAAGCGTAATTATCAAAATATGTAGGAGGCTGGCTGGTTCTTTAAGGCCTTCTTTCTGCCTTCTGGAGTTGACAAATTAACATAAGAATGGTTTTGGCCAAGTGAGCAGCCTGCTGAATAGAGGAAGGAAGGAAGGATAACGTTTACGTTTAAGGAAAGAAGGAAGGCGGCATATCTTAAGCCTTCGAGCGGTAACGAACCTGTTGATGAATCAAACCAGAAACGAAATTCAAATTTAAGTCTGTGAAATGGGAATGGGAGTGGGCGTGGCCTTGCACAATGTCTGCGTCAGCTTAACGCTTGCTGCACTAATTCAATTAAATATTTGTCTTTGTAGTTTTCCCCGTCGATGGGATGGTATAGGGAGGCAGAAATATGAGGAGGACCAGGAGCAGAAGCAGAAGCAGGCCCAAAACCCAAAGACCAGAAGACAAAGAGAAAGCCAAGGCTGACGACTCAGGATAAACAGCTTCGTCCCTTCGTCGTCGTCTCCTGGATAATGCAAATATTGTCGAGAGCGCGATGCCTTTCGCCCAAAAAGTGAGAGCGGCAGCCTCGGCGGCTGGAAGGAATGAATTTATTGCTTTTGGGAATTTTCCACTTGATGGCATTTAATGCGATTTAGTATTTAAATGAACAGGCAGGGAAGGAGAAGAAGAGATGGCACTGCGATGGTCGTGGGACAACAAAGACGATAAACTCATTCGGGCGCATTAAATTAATCCCAGCCGAGGCAGCCGACTTAATATAGGGGTCTAGAATAATCCGTCTACCGATTTGGCATGCATTTGAATGGGGAAAAATAGTAGATATTCCCCTCCGGAAATATTGATGATTTTTCCCGGGGCTGATTGAAAATCGCATCGGTCACACGCGAATGCAGCAACCGACTGACAGGGCAATCTAAAATGTTTTGCTGGCTGCACAAGAGCAGCTCCTCCGATTACTTACTATGGCTGCAAAAAATACATATCACGGGTTTTCGGTTTCAATTTCAGTTTCAGTTGCCATTCGATTCCCCGCACTGATTTTGTGTAAATATACCCGTAATTGCCAATTGTTTTTTTCTCTTCTCTCCTCTTTTTTTGCTGTGATTTTATTTTATCTTTATTTTTTATCGGATAGTGAAGCATGACAATATGTTAGTTGAATAAATAAATAAATAATTGGTGTGTCGTAAAAGTGCATAAATCTAGTTGCAATGTCCTAATTAGGTGTGGAATATGCGTATAAATATTTTCATAAGCGGTAACTGTTCCATTTGGTTAACAAAATAAGCCAAGCAGCCAATTGGCCGTTGCATAATTCAATTAAGGCGCCTGCAAAAATGCATTAATGCTAATGCAAATAGCAGCGCGAATATAATTGACTTTCCATAATTTCACCGCTCGGCTAGGCCAGCGAATAAATATTAAAATTAACTTAAACTCGCTACCCGTCACATAAAACGAAAACTAGACGAAAATTATGCACGAATTATGCTAATTGCGTATAATAATCGAAACAAAGTGAAACGAAATATGTCTAAATTGAACCGCCACCCGGTAAAGAATAAATTATTAATATCGTTATGATATGGTAGTTAAAGTAGATAATAATCGGACAAAGTCGAAAGGTTTTTAACGGGGAAAGAGAAAAAACTTTCAAGGAAAATCTATGGCTAATGGAGGCGTCTTACTAACTACTATTTAACATTTGTTCGCTTATTAAGTTGTTCATAGAACTTACTTTTGATATATCATAGATATATGGTTCCTAAAATTACCTCGACACCTTCATGCTGCCAGCGAAGGATACTCATTCAGGAAGGGTCCTTGCAACTGCTTTTAAAGGAGGAAATCCTCTGAAAACTGCGACCTTTTCTGGCCAACTTTCGCCTCGGACTACTAATTGCGGTCCACAGCTCCAGAGGTTGTATCTCTCCCAGCCACAGGACCTCGTCCTCGAGAGCAATTATCCTTCGCACGGACTGACAGCAGTTGAATAAAGATGTCGCCGGTAAGTCAAACATGCGCAGCTGCTGATCTACGATTGGTGAAACTTTTGGGGGGGTCACTTAAAACCCATTTGCCCCGACGAACTTACCTTCGCCGAAGGTCAGGGGTTTTAGCCTAAAATCTAGAGCCAAACTTAATCGATGCACGAACTTACCTTCGTGCCTAACAAGATTGTGGGTGATCTATATACAAAAGGACTGAAACTAAGACTCGCTAGGCCCACAAGGCTAGTCGAGCATAGTCAGCGGATCAGGTGGGTCGGTTGGTCGGCTGTTCACCACTTACAACTAGCAATAAATTATATTCGATTTGCGATATCCTCCATTACTGCCTGTAGGGATGGCAGAACTGATAGACCAGCCGCTGCGACCGCTCTGTCTTCTTCATGATGCCCTTCTTGTAGTACTGCCTGATGGATCTAGACAGCTTGTCGTAGTTCATCGCCGGCCGGTTCTTGCGACGACCCCACAACTTGGCCACCCGCACCGAGTCCTCGATCTTGAAGATGCCCTTGCTGCGATCGATCCACCGGATGGCCGTGCCGTTTACTTGGGGATTGGCCAGCAGCTCCTTAAGGAACTGCCACAGGTGGATGTGGGAGCCACCTCCTCCAGTCCTCCCTCCATTCGGGCGTTTTGCCGTGGCTGTACCGCCGTTCGAGGGCGTGGCTGTGGCGGGCGGCGAAGTGGAGCTGCTGGTCAGAGGTGTAACTACCACTGCATCTGTGTCCATGTCGTCGTCATCTATTAAAAAATGGGAAGAAAACTTTGGTTAATAAATGCTTAAAATTTCAAATTTGTTTTAAAAGGTTTTTTTATGAACAAAAAATGTATTCTTAGGAAACCAATAAAAATTATTTAGAATAATAAATATAAAATCTTTTAAATATTTTTAAATGCAAACACTTCAAATAAATAAATATATACCTTTATTTTCAGAAAACTCACTAAAAGTCTATTAAATATTATAAATTTGGAATCTTGTAAATATTTACAAGATTACAAATAATAAAATCGAATGGTAGAATTTAAACTTAAGTATTTGTTTTTCTAGGAAAATTCTAATTTCTGTGCTACAAACCACATTTATATATACATTTTACAACCCATTTGTTTATTTATCGCCTTATCCTTTTAAAAATATCTACCTTCATTATACAAAATTATTATTTCAGAGTCAAATTGCATTTATACAGCTAAACATCAAGAACCTAACAGTTAATATTAAATAAAAAAAAGAAAATTCAAATATTTTTTAATTTTTAAATGCTAATCAACAGAATAAAAATGTAAGATCGGAAAAGAAAAGGAGTTCTTATCGGTACATTTTTAGAACAAAAACCTATGCAAATCACCTTCGCTTTCCTAGCCATCATCCAACTCACCTTCGCTGTCCTCGTTGTAGTCGAGGTCCAAATTGGGCATCGCATAGCTGGCTGGCCAGAGATCGGCGGCAGCAGACTGCGAATGCGAATGGGGCTGATCCAGCTGATTTTGATGGGGCTGGTCGGCGTAGGCCATCTTCCAAATCTCCAACTGGGCGTGCAGCGTGCTCCCGCTCTGTAAAATAAGGCAGAAAAGAAAGAAAGCCGAAAGTGAGACATTTCGAATGGGAACAGAGAGCCTTAATCCTTGGCCAGAGATCGCAATCTGGACGGCATATCGATTGGAAATTCTTAGGCTAACCAAGTGCATAAATTATGTGCAGTCTCAGTGGTCCAAAAGCTACAGAGTTACTGGTAGTAGAGGTGGTAGTGGTAGTAGTAGCAACAACAACCAGAGACAACGGCGACGACTTACTTTCACCTTGCAATGTCGTTGCTGGTCGTTGGCTCAGTTCGAGTGCTGCCAGTCCCGCTCCTCCCCCTCTTAAAGACCCCCTCTTAAGCTCCATCCCCCCTCACAGTCATCCGAGCTGCTCGTAATCATCCGTCGTCCAAGTGCTGCAGTTTCACCAAACAACCTTCACACATTCTTTCACCTTTACAGCCATGACCACGGTTACTAATTTTTGTTTCTTTGGTCTCCGATTTCGTTCGTATTCACGTTCGTTGCCTAAGTCTTTTGTTTTCAAACTGCACTCTCCACTCTCATTCGGTGGCGAAAAGGCACCTCTAACGAGCCTAGGCGAATGTAATCATTGATATATTTTTGGCAAAACTCTCGACGGAGAGCACATGTTTGGATGGATATGTAGACAGAGATGAAATGGGAATGGGTATGGGTTCGGGTATGGAACTTGGGATGTGGAGTAGTTTTAGATGCCTAATTGCTGGCAACAGGTTTCCAAGCTCTGAGCTTTGCTTTTTTTTGAGTTTTAAGTTTTGTATTTTGTATTTTGCGTTTTGCTTTCTGATTTCTGATTCCGAATGGGCCTGTAAGCCGCTCTGGCTGCCAGCCATGACGTCAACACGCCAGTTACGAAACTTGTTTCGTTTTAGTTTTCGTTTCGTTTCTTTGTTGTTTTCCATTCGATTTCGGCCCGTACGCGAATTTCAATTCAATCGCATTGATTGGGCCTCTTCGAATATTGGCTCTTTGCTATTGGCATTTTGCATTGTGTTATTGTTTTATGTGCCATGGGCTATTGGCCCGTTGCTTTGTGCTGATCGATTTTGTAATATGCCCAACTATTTTGGCACTCGCCCAGTTAAGTCATACAAAAAAAAAACTAACGTCTTTGACTCACACTTCTTATGGTTCAAGAAATACATATATTTCCACCTAATTCCATACGTGATTTCTAGGTGTCATTGAAATTTTTTACTAGTGGTTTTTTCTTTTTCGCGGAATTTCGGACACAACATAATTTCAAACAGAACCCATTTTATGTGTCATCTTTTTTCAAAATATGACGAAATAAAATAAATTTTATTATTAAATTAGCAACCTAAAAATTTGCATTTACGTATTTTTTCAACTCGATAATTTCAAACCCGTTGCTAATGATTAGATCTCCGAAACTCTCTAATGTACATTTCGTTAATAAAATGCATTATAATATTTGATGTATCTAGTAGCTCCCATTAAATCAAACCAGTTCACACAGTATATCTCAGCTAAAAATATATTCATTCGGTTCCCCAATTATTGCTATCTGAATGGGTAACTGTACCCAAGCCACGAGTCGAAGCAATAAAACGACTTTAGATGGAATTTCAAGACTTCTGCAAGCCAAGTGAAATGGAAACCCCTAGAGATTTCTTTAACACCTTTTTGTACGGTTGAACTCACCTCTGGTAGTCGGCGCACGAATTCCTCCTCGCTGAGTAATGTCAGAGCGGCCCCATCTTCGCAGAAGTGCAGCTCCAAATCGGCCACCGGTGGCAATCTAAACTGGGCCAAGGTGGATCGTAGCCATGCGTGTACTTGGGCGGGCGACCAGCCATTGGGATCTACAGATTAAAGTTGAAATTAAAATAAATTATAATAGAATAATAAAATATACAGATATATTGATAATGTATCGATGTTTTATCCGATATTTGCGATAAATCTAAATCGATAATATGGAAAAAAAATAATTTAAACCCTTTCTTCACTGATTATACTTAAACTTTACGATATTTTCGACAATATATCGATTTTTTCGATACGATATCAGGGTTTTTCTATAAATCGATATTTTTGTATCGGTATACATCCCTATTCCCAAAACTCACCCTGCGATATCTGCAGCTCCGCGCAAATGGCGTCCGCCTCTCGTTTGGCATGCTCCAGAGCCAGCGAAATGACGGGCTCGAAATCACCGCGCACCTCGGCCAAGCCACCGATGAAGGATTCCAGAGCCAGTGGCTTCAGGTTGTGTCGCTTCTGGAAGCTGGTGTCCTCGAGGCACTCCCTCAGCAGCTGATGATCCGGCTTGGTGTCCTGGAGATTCTGCTGCTGCAGCAGGGAGTTCAGGTCGATGAGGCTCTCGATGTCCGCATCCAAGGGCTCCGCCTTGATGCTCTCGCCGCAGGAGGAGCGCGGCGAGGGTGTCTCGCAGTTGGACTCCGGTGGCGAGGGAGGCAGGATGTGCAGCTCCTGCTTGATGCTCACCGCCTCCAGGGAGGGCGAAGGGCTGTTTAGGCTATCGTAGCTGCCTCCGTATCTCCCAAATCCGTAGGCCGCGAACTCCGACTGCAGCGGACTGGACTGTGGCGAGGGGTAGGCACTGTGGGGGTAGGCGGGCGGCGGGATCAGCTGGTGGCTGGAGGGGATGGTATACGGAGCCGTGGGTTGCTGCTGCTGCAGCGGCTGACTCTCCCAGGCGCACTCGACCTTGATCTGGGGGGCGTTGTACTGGAAGACGGTGGTGGGAATGGGGGCGGGGGCTGATGACTCCTGCGGCAGCAGCGACAGGTCAAAGTTGTCCGCATAGGCTGAGTACTGATCCGGCGGCGTCTGGGCCTGGAACTGGTGTGGCTTCAGCTGCGGACTGTGCGGCATCTGCGGAGGTAGAAAGAAAGTGGTACAGAAGATAAGTACACCGGGAGAAAACCTATTTAATAGTTTTCTAGATTGATTTACTAATTTTCCATTAGAACATTTTCTTTAATATTTATTTTTGGTGTACAAAATAGGTAACTAACTAAGTTTCTAACTGAAAAAAATATATCTGTAATTTTTAAAATTTAATTTCATAAACTCGTAGTTAATAATGCTTTTTTCACTCTTCAGAAAAAAAAAACATAAAGGTCTTTAAAATTTTATATGAAATGTAAAATCTTTTAAAAAGTACCCCTATTTCTCGCAGTGCCTATACAAGAACAGGGAGTTACTAAAGCCCCAAAAAAGAAGGCTAGGCTGCTAATTGAAAATCAAAACACTGGGTGGCGCCATCTTGCCGCGGCCCCACTAATTATCCGGCAATCTGAGATGCCAAATCGCGGCCACCTGTCTTAATTATCACGCCCATGAAAGTTAATTAGTTTTATTTCTCCCCGCTTCCAGTTTGGAATTTGCGTATGTGCGGCCGCCTTTCTAATTCGTACTCGCCATCCATCGCCACCTACCTGACAGAGTATGGAAATTTTCGGAACTGATTCGGTTCTGATTGAGTTGAGTTGTGTTGAGTTTTGGGGGACTGGACTGAGCTTAACCTTAGTTATCCACCGATGATGATAGCGGTTCTGCGGAATCGGAATCAGAATCAAAATAAGAATCGAAATCGGATTGGCAATCGCAATCGAAGCCGACGAGACAAGAGCAAGAGACGTACTAAGCTCGGAGTGGCATTGATTTTCTCATTTATCAAGTTGCGATTTTCGATTTGCGACTTGTGACGCCACAGAAGGCAGCCAGCTGCGAGCAGGAAAAAAACCCAGAGCCCCCTAGGATGAGGATGAGGGGTGTGTGTGCTGTTTACGAGCCGCCAAACAATGACTAGATCAAAATCAAAGCGTTCTCTCACAATCCCTCGTCTCTCTAGGCAAGCATTTTATTTATTTTTCTGATTTTTTTGCTTACCTTTTTTTTGTATTTATTTGCACAGCAGCGTCATAAAAGAAGGCTACCAATTTTTACCTCCGACAAACTGGTTTTTCATTAAGCAACTCAATGCAGCAATGGCGAGGGAATATAGTGAGCTGTGCGCTTATTATTAATAAAACAGCTCATACTGGATTTTCCGACTACATGGTACTTTCATGGTATCTCAGATATCTCGGGGGGTTGTGGGCCTTACAATATTATATTGCCTGCTCGCGACGACGCCATAATTCTAACTAGTCACGATGTTATTACAATTTCTGTTGTTTTAATTGCTCGACAACGGGGCGTATGAGTGATTTCAGTTCGCTTTTCTCGCCTGCCCGCTAATTGCAAGCGCAAACATTTCGATTTCGCCTCAGCACTCGGTGATTACCTTGCGTAATCTGCATATTATTAGAGCAGTGTAGGTACTTCACCCGAATCACCGGAGTCAAAATCCAAAAGTACCAAGGAAAACCTAGGATACATGAATCAGCAGCTGCAGCCAATGACTCAGTCGAAAGGCCATAAAAAAAATTGTGATTTCTGGGCAAAAACTGCATAATAAATTGAGCTGCTATGGGGCCATTTATGGACCATTAAGGACCAGACAGGCTGTACAAAAAAATGTCAACTAGTTATTACACTCTGCCACGGAGAGAGATTTTCTAAAAATTGATTGAAAATAAAAACTAGCCTCACATTAAATTTTATGGCCTTCTCTTGACCATCAACCCTCATAAATTGTCCAACGAAAAAAAGGTTTTTAACTAAATATTAAGGGAAACACTTAATGCAAAATAATGCTAATAAATATGAACATTCTAAGGGGAAAGAATTTGCATTTCTCTCACTCTCTGACTTTGATTTATTCGCCATATCATATTCGCCTACCCTTAGACTCCGACAAGCCCACATCCTCGCAGCTCGCAGCTGAGGGAATTAGATCACTCGGGTTATTCCATTCCATGGATTTCCTGCTGCTTCGGGGCTGAGAAACAACAACAGAGATCACGGCGATCTGAATCATGTGCTGTACTCGTAAATTTTAATTAAATCTCGTTCTACAAAACAAGCTCAGCTCAGTTCGGCAATTCTGACAGAATCGGAGTTCCCAGTTCCCAGTGGCCAACAAAAGGCTTTTTTGTGGTGCCAAACGCTTTTGGCTTTCGACTTTCGGCCGGTAATATTTCATTGGCGTGTCCGACATGGGGCGGCTGTCAATAAACGCTTTTGTTTCGGGGCAAGAATATGCTGGGAGTATGTGAAATCGAAGAATACTGGGCACCCGCACCCATCGACGTCATAAAGTTGGTAATTTCGTTTGGTTTTTCGGCTTGTTATCGATCACCAAGCCAAGCGGTTGGTGTCAAAGGCGGGACATGAAAACAATGAGCCCGGCAGCAATTAGGATTTGGGCTTGATTCGATTCGGCCCGACTCTTAACAAGTGGCTGTCAGGTGTGGATTGTATATATTTTTAGAAAAACCACAGCGCCATTATAGACACATTTAGCCGGCAATTCTATTTTTAAAATACTTTACAAAAGGCACAAAAAATATATATGATATGGTGGAGTGTGGGTGCTGCGTGAAAGGGAAACATGATAGGTTCTCTGGGCTTTCCACCTGTAAACAGGATACATTAGTACCCAGCAACACACTCGATTCGATGGAAAGCTCTTATCAAGGAATGACTAATGCTGCACAATCGGACATTTGATATTCAGATCCGATCCGTTGTTAGTTGGTCGACTGACAGGCAAAGGAATTCAATTCCAATTAAATTATAGCATTTTCGAGCGGCAGCAGCCGAAATGCCATAACTTCAAAGCTGACTCATTTCAAACGGACGACGTTCGACGAGCAAATAAATCGAATATGCCGAATTTATTAAAATTCCAGCAGGCTGATAAAAATTCATTTTCCAACCAAAAACAAAAGACAAAGCCGAATGGCCAAACAAAAAAAAAGAAGACAAAACAAAATAAGCCAAAGCCAAGCCAAATAAAATAAAATCAAGTGAAATAAAGTGAAATAAAATCAGAGCTGAGAGCCATTTGGAAATCAGATATGAAGACGAATAGGCCAAGTTAAAAGCAAACATTTTGCGGCGCTGTCAAAGGCAGTGGCAGATTTTTGATTTTTGATTTCCCTTTTAGAGCCAGCAAATTGAAAAACCCTTACCCGAATTAGCAACAATAATATTTGATTTGAGCTCTCACTCTCTCTCTCTTTTTTCGGTAGGTAATAAATTGAAAATATACATATCTTTACTCCAGCCGAGGCCACAAAAAAGCAAAAAGAGAAGAAAACAAGTTTTATGATTTTTGTGGCTGGCAAAAGCCAACTCAAACAAAATCAAATTCATTAGAACAAGTCGAAGCCGCTGTCAAGAATGTGGGATATTTATATTGTGCTTGTGCTTGTGGCTTCGCCTAATAATAAAATCAAGTTTACGTTTTAAGACAAAAACGACAAAAGCATTATTAAAAGCTGCGATCAGATAGACCAGCCACATACCCATATAATAAACAAATGGAACGAATGGACATGGACTGACTGACTGCCTGGCTGGCCAACGCCTAAGGCGAACTCACGACCGATCTATATAAAATATAAAATAAATCCATTTAACCAGATCTTACACGGGGCGCGCCCAGGCCCATAGACAAAGGAGACCTTGGTTGGTCCCAGAATCGGAATCAGAATCAGAATCAGACAAAAGGTTGGAGTGAAGGGTAGGCAGACTTATAAATACGATATATGTTCTTAATGTGGCCCGTGAATAAACAGTTGCAACTGCAGCTTTGGCGGCCTTGAGTGCTGACATGCCAGGTGAGTTATGGCCAGGTAATATTTAAATTAATTTATATGTATCTTTGGACTAAATAAACAAACTATGCTAATGCCGCCACGGTCTTAACCTCAGGTGTTCAACTAGTTGCCTCTGAGAACTGGCGACAATTGTCAGGTAATCTGTTCTAATCGCATTATGGCAATGGAGCTGGCAAAAGCCAAGCGAGACTGACCCCTTCCCTTACCCCTGCTTTACCCCTTCTCACCCCTTCTTAACCCCTTCTTTACCCCTTCCCTTCTCTCAACCCGATGCGCAGTCGCAAATTGTTTGTTTAATGAATGTTCGCTTTATTCGCGCGCTTAGGGATTGGATATACCATATACCTTATAGCATATGGCATGGGTGTAAGGGGGCTACGGCCATGTTGAAGTGCGCTGTCAACAGCATAAGCGCACATACAAAGATAGAGATACTCTGGCAAATCCCCCGGCGGTATCCACGTACAATCTACCAGCTCTCGGATGCGTGGGTTAAGCTGTCAAAGAGACAAGACTTATTTCTGCTTATTTTTACATCGCCTCCCCTTCGTCTGTTTGCCTTCTGTTTGTTTCACTCATTATTCTGTATTTCAGTTTTCCAGTATCTCATGGCTGTATCATTGTATCTCTGTTTCTTTATATCTCTGGCTTTTTCGCAGTTTTGTGTTGCTTTTAGCCACTTCGTGACGGGGCAACAGTGTGCAGTTCTTCGCTATTTGCATTGCATTTAATTGCCGACATTTCAGGCTAGATAAATGGCTGGCAGCAAGGTTAATAAATATCTCGAATGGGTGCAACATTTCAATTATGCTGCATTCTTTGCAGCCTGCTTAATATTCTAAATGGTCTGGGATCTGGGCCTCAGAATGTTCCGGCTTGGAAAAGCCACCGACTAACTAACCAAATTAATTAAAGCTCCAACTTCGATTGAGGAGTTCTCAAGATCTCCGCTCCTCAGTATGCCGCACATTAACCCGGCTGATAACTATTTGGACACTTTCCTGATGGACAACCCAGCCACACTCTTCATGGGAATGGCACTTTCGACCCACACCCATACCCATTCCCATATCCCTACTCAGGCCCATCCCACACCCACACCCTCGATAAGGAATGCGCTTGTGTCTAGGCACTGAACCCTGCAAATCCAATCCAATCCCTTCTGCGCTCATTATGCACTGCACGCACTGACAATTATTCCGTATAAAAGACGTTGCGAAGCCAACTCATTTCAATTTGCATAAAAGCCAGGCGAGATTCAATGCTGAAGTCTGAAGCCGCAAGACAAGACCCGCAACCACAGGCTGCCGTGGCAATATTTTAGCAATGCACTGAGAGAAATGAGGAATTTTTACATAAATTTAAATTGATAATTTTGTTTATCTTTAAAACCTTTTTAAACCTATTTTATTTTTAAAAACCTTTCTGAAGATAAGAAAATATTCTGAAAACTAATAAATAATGTAGCTTTTAGCAACATTAACAAAAGATCATATAATTCATTGAATCTTTAAAATTGTTGTCTCAAATATAGTATTGGTATATGTGCGTTTTAATATTTTAGTATTACAAAAAATCCAATATTTCGAAAAAAAATGATAAATGGGTTCCCAAACTTTTAACTTTAATCTTTAGAATAAAAACATAGGAATTCTTTTAAACTTTTAGATTATAATTAACATATATTTCGAAGTTAGACTATAAAAAGCAACATATGAAAATGCTTTAGTTCTTTTGTTTTCCTTCTTTCCATTTTACTCTTCTAAAGAATAACTTCTTAAAGACTTAACTTACAAGCCGAAAAAAGCAATTTCGTTGAGTGCACTTGCCACAATAATGGCCAAGAAGGGAGCCACACCCAAAAAGTGATTATTATTGTATAATCGGTTTGATTGATAACCAGTCGTTCTGGATGGGATTGCGATTGGATGGGCTAGCATAGGATAGGATAGAATGAAATGGGCTAGGGCCCCTGACTGAACGAACTTAGAAATGCCACTCTCGATGGATTCACCTAGAGGGAAAGAAGAAAACCTGACAAGTTGAAGTATTTATGTCATGTCGAGTTTTCCTCAACTCAACTCGTCTTGTCGGAGTCGTCTCGACTTGGCTTAGTGTGGCTGAGCTGCGAAAGCGGCTTGCATTTATAATTGTTGGCAGTAGTATTTATTTTATTATGTCCATAAATATAATGAGAGATGAGTGTGGCTGCCGCTGGCAGTCTTGTAGACCAACAGACTTCACAATCTTGCAATCTTGCAGTGCATTTCTAAGCGCTGTTCCGAGCTGCTTCTGTGTCAGCGATTGGAAAAGCGCGGAGACACATTTCCATCAAATCAATCAAAAATGGTAAATACAAGTTTTTTTCTTCTGTATTTTCTGATTTTCTGATTTAGCTGTATTTTCTTGATTTTCTTTTATTGCAATGCAGCATCGACAAACGTCAAAGAGTTGCGTACGTCGTCGCCAATGGGGCTTAAGTAGGTCCAACAAAAAGTATCTGCTAGCTGCTGGATTGGAATGCACTTTCCGAGTGAAATGCCAGTTCAGGCCGAAGCCGACATGGCAGCTCTTACTCGGCTGTTGTTGTTGTCATGCCATAGTTGACAATCATTTAGAATCACTTCTTGCAAAATGAAAGCATCTTTTGAAAGTTGCTACTGCCATTGCTATTGCTGTTATTGTAATTAAAGCGAAATGCCATAAGACAAACTCTACTCTCACCCAGTGACACGCATTCGCAGTCGCAGTCGCAGTAGCGAGATGCCAAGTGCAAGATGTGCGAAATGCGAATGGCGAACTGAAAGATACTTTTGCCGCCTACACGAGATACTCTGCTCTGCTAGGGGCTTCAAGCTAATTAAAAAACGGCAGCAGCAACAGCTTTCGTGCCGTGCCGCAAAAACTGCGCATAATGTGACCGAGGCGACAGATATAGATACTGATTCCGATTCCGCGACTTTACTGGCCGATAATGATAATGGCGGGGCGCAGAGGTTATCAACTATCGCAGCTATGTAGCGCACTACAGCCACACATCAACATCTGAGAGATACATCTACAGCTATGTTTTGTAGATAGAGATACATTATGTGGACTTACCTCACTCGCTGGCATGTACAGCATTTTCTCGTACTCCATTTCTGAGCAGTTATAATATTTCCCAGATATTTTAATTTTTTCTCAGGCTGTAGATCTATCTTGTAGCTACTGTATCTGTAGCTTTGCCTCTAGCGTAGCTGTATCTCTCGGCATGCAAAATCAGATGCGAAAGTCTCGGCTGCTCTGCTCTCTGTTGCTATCTCGTTCGCACTCGCGGCCCAGCGACTCTGGCCCTCTCCTTCTGGCTCTTTCACTTGTTGCTGTTTTGGTTTTTGACTTTTCGAAATGTTTAACTAGATTCACTCAGTTGTTTTGTTTCACTGCCTCGGTTGCCTTTGTGTTCATAATGGTCTGTTTTTTTTTCTGGAATAGTTTTCGATTTTGTTTTTGTTTTATTTTGGTTTTTGAAGCCAGTTTGTTGCATTCACTGGATTCACTGGTATTCACTGCATTTCGTTACTAAAATTTCCACTGGCAAACTTGTTGCTCTCTCTTTCACCGTCTCTCTGGCTGTCTCTATCTTTCTCTGGCACTTGAATATTTATAGATCTCGGTTCAGTCCGCTTGTCGACCGTTCGCCAAGTCTTCACGCTCGTTTCTGTGAGCGGCTTGAGCTGCGATCGCTCCGCTTACCTCATGCGCGAAGCTTTTGAGCCGCCAAACTGGTTGGCAAGCTCGGCTCTGGAGCTCTAAAAGAAGCTTTGCCATTCAGCCAGGCCAAACAAAAGTCCATCAATTTCCAGATATTCCCCATATATTCGTATGTTATGGCCAGATGAAATTTATTGGCTCGCATAAAATGACAAGCAGTCAACTGGGCCAAGTTGCAACAACTGTGATTGAATGGCCCGCAGCCACGCCCACAGAAAAAAGAACAAAAATGGGAAATTGTTCCTGGTCGATGCACGTCAACTGCATTATCATTTCCGCTTCCGCTGCATAAGTTGCACAAGACGCAGAGACGCGGAGACGCCGCCAGCAGAAATGTTCTGGCGCTACAGGAGCAATACAATTTCGTTTGGCATTTATATTTCATTGGACAACGACAATTTCACAGTTCTCGTTTGACGTCTCATAAAAACAGCGCCGCCGCCTGGAGACCAACTTCAATGTTATACTTTTTTGTATAGAGTCCTGGCAGTCAATGACTTTCCTGAAACAGAGAAAATTTATTTGTAATTATATTTTAAGCCCTCATAAGCAATAAAAAATTATAAATAAATCGCTTACAACTGTCAAGAATCAAATTTCATTTTCATTCCCATCATTTAAATTGCCCTTCAACCTCAATAAATTCGCTAAAATTGATCTAATTAATTTAAATGCTAATTTTGCTTCAATCCCATTTAAATTTATGCCGTCAACGCGCTGGAAATTGGACTTGTTTAATATGTATTTTGTAATAAATAAAGAAATGACTAATCTTTGATTTATGAAATGATATCATTATTTTTTGTCTTTCGTTAAGGTTTGATTTACATTTTCATGCTAGGAAAAAATGTTATTTAGGTCAAAATCATACTAAGGGTATAAAAAGATGGCTAAAATTTAGAGGGAAAGCCCCTGATTTCCACCTTGACTAGCGATGTGCGCTCCATTATTGGCCTGCCGCCTAGCCGGGTTAAAGCGCTGTCGCCTAAAATGAAAGGCATGTCAACAGCAATTGGCACTCAGCAAACCAGCCGGAGATGCAGATGCTCGGCGGAGGAGCCGGCTCAGTGTGCTACCGGGAATCCAGCCGATGGCCATCATTATGCCAGATGCCGGACCCTCCGCGCTTAGCTGTGGACAGCCCTCGGCTCCTTGTTCCCTGTTCCACTTACCAATTCCCAGTACACCGAACATACTTTTATAGATTTTTGAAAATTTAAACTGGCAATATGCAAGCAGAAAATCAAATCAAAATCAAACGGGAAATGCATTATTTGCTCATAACATTTAAATGAATAGTATGATTTAAAATTTTTCTTTTACATTTCGATAGGGGTTGATGAACACAAGAAAAAGATATTTAGAATTTTACAAAATCTGTAAAGATGTGGGCGCCATGCTTCTTTAAAGACCCTTTAATGCTATTGTGCGCGAGGCAAGAAATTTAAACCTATTTCGAAATTTTTAACAACAAATCTTCTTAAGCCAAAGCACTTAACAATATTTTCTTTTAATATCAGTTAAGTTTTTGCAAGGCACTCAATACCCCTTGAAATCTAGAGCTATCTATCTGATTTTGTTTTCCGTGCAGCAAGGGGCATTCGATCTCCATCACTGGCAGCGGTGTCCCGTGATGGACAGCCGGCTCAAAGGAGCGGCGTGCTTAATGGTGAGCTGCAACCGCCGAGAGCCACGGCGGGGCAGCTCCCGAATGGGGCAGCATTAACCCACGGCAGCTCCACGGCTGCACGGCTCCACGGCTCCGATGGATTGGCCAGGAAACGTGCTGGAGTGGCAGGACACGCAAAGGCCGCGGCAAGCAGCTGAATCAGCCCCTGCGGGCGGACGAGCGTTCAATGGGGAAATGACGCCAGCTCCACGGGCCACCCGCTTAGATTGACCGGCCGGGGACAGACTTGGCTTCGTGGGGTAGTGGTTGCATTATACCTCGAAAAATAGATTCCCCTTTAAACGCGGTCTAAAATTTAATAAAATTATGAATTATACTCTAGACTGGCTAAAAATAGAAATTAAATATGTTTGTGGTTTGATTAACAATAAATCTATAGCAAATACTTCATCTTCCTTGAATTCGCACATAAAATACTTGTATACCCGTTTTTATGGCCCAATAATTTTGAGGTTAGATCTGAAAAAATATGTTTTTTATCCAACAATGCGGTCTATTGTTGTGCTATTATTTTTTCAATCGATTTGCATTCAAACCTAACACATTTTATTTTTGACCAATATTCGGAAAAAAATGATGATTTATCTTAACTTTATTATTATTATATTTATTTTTAAGTTTTCCTATTTTGTATCCTCTAATGAAAACGCTATATGAGCTTTTTAAGTTCCCTAGTAATTTTCAAGATTAGCTTGAAAGGAGCCCTGAAGCCGCCGCAAAGCATCATTTAATCAGCCTGGTGCAAGATAAATCAGCTGCCAGTCGGGGACATGGGACATCTGGACATCCAGACAGGACGAAGGACACTCTGTGGCTGCAGGATAACCTGCGGCTGTCTGTCGATTCGAATTAAGCCCAGTGCTGAGCCCAGAGAGTTGATTCGATTTGCTGGACATCATGTTGGACTCTTATGAGTGCCGAGAGAGATCCGAGCTAATGCGATGGAAGGGGTTCACAATGTGCATTGCATTGACTACCACTGGGGATCTCACACTGATTGGTCTTAAATCAAAGCAAGGATTAATGCGTTAGTGGAAGGAATGGGGGGCAGGCAGAGGTATACAAATAGAGGGCCAGGATACTACACACACTCACTGAAAAGGGATACCATAGACAGGAAGTGGGCCACAACAAGCCTCACACATGGGCGGGGGGCGGTGGGCGTGGCAAAGACGTGAGGCGTGACAGCGCATGCAGCCGGACGGATGGTCAATGAGACACTTCCGGTGTAGGAGGCCACAGCAGGAGCATTGATGTAAATGAAAGCCGTTTCGCTTAAGCCGAGCACAATGGTCCGTGCGCACTCCGGAAGCACTGCATCCACGATGGGATTGGAAGGGGATGGGGGACGAAGGATAGCGGATGGTAGATGGTGGATTGGAAATGGAAATGACGGGGTGGACGGCAACCGTCTCGACGGACTGGTTCATCCAGCAAACTGTTGCACGCCTGTTGGACATTCAAGCAGCAGTCCTTTGGGCACTCCTCTCCAGAGAACAGTGCCGACCTTTTGGCCTTTAAAAATCTTTTGATTTATAAAAAATCTGTAATGTTTATTAACAATTTTTTGTATTTTTAAAGGATTTTAGAGTAAAAAGTTAGAACTATAGGGTTATTACATAAAATAAAGTGCTATATCTTACATTTACTTAAATAAAATTTTAAAGAATAGAGTGAAATTGAAATATAAGTCCATTTATAAAAATTAGTAATGTTTATTTAACCATTTTTTTACCTACGTGTTTTCATGATTTTACAGGAAATGTTAGATCTACATTTAAATCCTTAAGCAAAATGATTAAAAATAGAGTGTAATTAAAATATAAGTCCATACAATTCAAAGCTATAAATAATATATATTTTAAAATGAGCAAAAAACTAGTTTACTTTTTTTCGTTTTTTCAAAGCAAGTGAAAGTCTTAAAATATAAATTGGACCATATTTGCAGAATATCTGTATCGTTTATTTATTAAATCTCCCAATTAAATTCAGAATATTCCAACAAACCGAGTTTATAAACCAGTTTTATATAAAAACCCAAATAATACAATTTTTTGCCTACTTTAAAATGTTGTTAATAAAGTGTTTTTAGGCGAGAGAGGCGAAGAAAAAAGTTAATTTTTTACAGACATCACTAGAGGGGCGTTAAGGGGGTTGGGGCATTTATAGAGCCACCCGGCAAATCCCAGTTTTGTGGCCGGGACTTTGCCTGAATCGAATCAGCGCGACTGTCGAATCGTTTGCGGTGTCAGTTCGCTTGGAAATCCGCTTGAAAGCCATTCACAAATGTAATCCGCTGGCCGGCTCAATATGCCGGGTATGTAAATAATTGCCACCACCGTTAGCGATTTGTCCACCAATGCCCCGAAGGGCACTTGATGCGATTCCGTGCCGTGCCGCCCATCGTAATCATCTGGGATGCCAAAGGACTGGGATTCTGCGATCCTTCGAAAGGAAACGGCGACATGTTGAGTGTCAGCTCAATGAGCCGACTCGACGCGTTGATTTCAAATAAATAAAAATGTTAATTTTAAAACTGCGCTACGCCAGTGGAAATTACAGTTATTCGCTGTACGTGTTTAATTATTTTTAAATCACGGTTCGAGTCCTTTTGGTCCTTTAGTCGTAACTACGACGAGACTATGGCCTGTTTTCGCAGGCTCATCACGTGCCGATTGTCAGCTATTCGAGAGAGCATCCGCCGATGGCCCACAACTGTCCACTTAAAGTATTATTTCCGCAGCCCGGATCCTTAATTACACGGACTATTTCGTGTGGTTGAATTTGCCTGTTTTATAAATAGTAATTATGACTTATTTTGAGGGTTCTCCACTTGCACATGACACAACTTCAAACTTCAATGCATAATAAATAAAGCAAATAATTTGAGGGACTTTAAAGACCCCAAGACAAAGGAACTTTCCTTGCTTTCATTTGCATAACTCGGAAGTTAAAGTGAAAGGGCAAAAGTCAAAGGTCAGGCGAAGGACTTGGGCCGAAATTTATGATTTCGCACAAACAAACGGACACTGGGAGCCCCGTGGGCAAAATGCATTTGACGTTATGCAAATGACGAAACGAATTCACTGACTTCACTGACCACTGACCGTAACCTGATGTCCTGTTTGTCCGTTTTGTCCGTTGTGTCCGTATGTCCGGACAGCAGTTGATTAATTTGCTGCAGCCCGT